AAGGAGGTGACAGGCGAGGTGTGCTCCTTGCTGCATAGGAACAGCTTCTTTAATCTACTTACCCCCTGTTTCTTTTTCTTTTCTTTTCTTTTTTTAAAGATTTATTTATGCATACAGAGCTGGGTACAGTCCAGAAGTGCAGGGGCAGTGAGAGGATTCACAAGAGACAGAGTGGGGAGCAGGCAGATAGACAAAATACACTGCTGAGAGGAGCAGTGGGTGGGTCAAGAGGGGTCTGCTGCACCATGTGGATCACCTCTGGAACAGGGGATCGAACTCCACTGAAGTGGCCATGGCTCATTTGTAGTGCTGAGCTTTAACCTTTTGCACCACCAGGGAGGGACCTTTATTTCCTTTTTAACCGTCATTTAATGAGGCCTTGCTGATTTGGACTCTTCTTTGTAGAGACATGGATTTTACCTAATCAGTACAATGTGTGTTTTAGTTTTTCTGCATGTAATCTTTGTCACAACCTAATTTCTCTCCTGTTGAGTTCAGAACTATTTTCCCCCAGTTGTCAGTATAGCTATATAACCAAGAAAATACTTAGTTCTACTTCCTTTTAGAGTCTCACCTGTTTTCTATTTTTCTACATTCTTGCTTATAACTTCTTTCATAAATAGAAGATATATACTTAGATTTTTTAAGTCATAATATGGTTGATTAAATCAAGAGTTTAAAATTCCCTATATACTGTCAATCATACCCTCTTCCCTTTCCCCCCATTTTATTTCCCATGGTCCAACTAATTTCACTCCTTTGAGGTTCATGATCTAATAATATGTGCAGTCTTTCAGTATATACTTCACTGATATTAGTGACTATGAAGTGGTAGTTGATGCATTAATCTTAATGAATGAAACAGATTTGTCACATCTGTCCAATTTCAGATAGACATCACTTTTTTGTATAAGATGGGTTGGTGAAAATTGACCCTATATAACAGCAGCTTTAAGTGGAATTAATAGTAAAATCACTAAAAAATAATCCAAAGACTATGATTGTTTTTATTGCTTTTGCAGTCTCTGTTTTCAGGGAAATAAGATGAAGTCACATTATTTTTTTTTTTTAAAGATTTATTTATTTATTCATACAGAACTGGGGTACAGGCCAGAGATGCGGAGGGTGAGAGGATTCACCAGAGACAGAGTGGGGAGCAGAACAGGCAGATCTACGAAGTACACTGCTGAGGGGAGCAGCGGGCGGGTCAGGAGAGGTCTGCCACGCCATGTGGTCACCTCCGGGGCAGGCGGGAATCGAACTCATGAGGAAGCGGCTTTAGATTCTCAGTGCTGTGCTTTAACCCACTGCGCCACCAGGGAGGGCCAAAGTCACATTATTTTTTGCTGTATTTTAAATTAATTAGGGTTGGGACCATCTTATATCTCCTCACAATTTATTTCCTTCATTGTTACTCTATAGCCTTTGAGAAGGGCTATTGGATTTCTATAAATCTTTTAAAAATCTGTTCTTCAAAGACTTCGTATTAAAGTAGCATGTTTATTGGCTCTATTACTGGTAATAACCATAATATGACTGAATTTCAGTGATAATAAATTGTATATATATTTAAAACAAAACGAGGTATTTAAGCATACATAAGAACACTAAAACATTTCACCTAGTGATGAAAACAGACTTCAAGTTGTCAGTTTCTGCTGAGTTCTGGGTATGAGTTTGTGGTCAGTGTGTATACTTGGAGGGTGACCGCTCCTCAGAACCCATCTCAGGAAAACTGTTGCTCAGGAGGAACAGTTTGGGGGAGTGTGTGTGTGATAAGAGGTCTCTAGGAAATCTGTAGTAGGCAAGTCAAATGTTTTATTATTTCCTGTTCCTCTGTCTTAGAATGTTATTGGAGAGATGGAGGCACTCATCTCCCTGCTTCCTTGCTGAGGGGGCCTGCAAGCCCTCAGTATCCCATTGCCTTTGATGGGGAGTCTGACTCTCAGGGGACATCAGGAAGGCCTCTGCCCTGGACCGGGCACTGAGGCATGACACAAAGGCTGAGTGCAAGAGAAGTGAGCCAAGCAACTGAAGTCAGGACCTGGTAAATCAGCACTAAGGCCAGCAGGTTGTTTGGTGGAGGAGATCTGGTTCCCACGATGAAAGCCTTGTCCCCTTGTTTCTGGGACAGTGGGATCACAAAAGACTTCACGTGTCTTCACGTACTCTACCTCCCCTCACCACTCCTCAGAGTTGGTGTAGGTGAGGAAGTATTTGCAGTAGAGGTTCTCCATGCTGCCATTCACAATGTCCCCCAGGCCACCCTATGCTGGCCCTTCCCATACAGCTCCAGGGAATGGCACAGATGCTTGGGGTGGCATTGGGCCTGGTACAGCTCTGTTCTGAAAGTTAGGGAGCTGTCCTCAGACAGTAGGCCTGGCGTGGGCCCTGCTGCCATGTTTCTGCAGTCACCACCCTCTCCTTCCTACTCTGCTCTGCTCACGCCCTCAGAAGCCTTCCACAAGGGAAGCAGATAATGGTAGAGTGGTGTGACTGTGGCGTGGTCAGCAGTGGAGGGAGCTCAGGACGTCATTTTTAAAACTTTCGCGTGTGCGTGTACATATTATGCATATATCCTTGTAGTAACAGGTTTATTTCCAATATCATTATTGTAAAATGTAAAGTTTTTCTTTAACCTTCATTTGATGTCTCTTCCCAGAGCCACTGTTACATTTGTGTACCCTTCATTTTTCTGCACTGGCTGTGCAATTGTGTTTTATGTGGTTTAAATGACACATACTAACATATTTCCTGGAGATAATTTCACTAAGTCACATAGTTAATTCATGTCAGCAAATTTACAGTATTTAGAAGAATAATGACAGAGCCATATGCTTGGGACCTTGAGTTAACAAGAGTGTTGCAGCAAATACCTTAGTGTTCACGTGTTTTTCTCTAGGATAGATGCCTTGAAATGGAATGACCAGGTCAAAAAAATAGGTTTCCCATCTTGGTAGGTACATACAGATATGGCCAAGTCACCCTCTGAAAAGTGTGTGCTCACAGAAGCGCTGTATGAAAGTCCCATTTCCCCATTCACCTGCTATGTTCCCCAAGGCTCTTAGATGTAAGATTTTCCAAAGATTATATCTTGGTATCTTGTTTTGTTAGAATTTAGTACAGTTACTGGTTGTAAAAATCCCTTTAGAATAAATTAGGACTAAAATTTGAGAAATATTATAGGTCACTGCTTTTATGTATATTTATAGACATATTTAAACTTTTTTACAGTATCAGTCCATGTATAAAGGTTATCACAGAGTCATATCCTTAAAGTTAATAGCTGTTAATGTGAATTTTATAATCAGGAAATAACATTTGGACAAAATTACTCATATTGAAGTTTGACTTTTATTTGGCCTTTAGACTTATTTAGTCCCTTAAAATGATTATTTACACATTTGTTTTTCACAGATTAACTTTTTTTGTGTGTGTATTTGTTTCCTGTGTGTTGCACTGTGTTAGCTGTAGTGACTCCTGCTGTGATGAGCTGCTCTCTGCCATCCACAGGAATAGGAGCATGGCTTGGTGGGAGTTCGGAAGACTCAGACTTGAGCCTCAGATATGATATGATTTTGAGCAAGTTACAAACCTCTGAGGTTCAATTTTCTTTCTATGTAAAATAGAACAGGCAGTTCCTGTCAGGTGTTTTTTGTGAGGAGTGGTAATAGTGTGGAGATAATCAGCAAGCTGTTACCGTTAAGTCTTTTGATAACCTTTTTGCCTTAAATATGCTTTAAAAATCAATTTCAGGCTGATTTACAGGGTAAAAGAAGTTCTCCTGCTTAGCAGAGCTGCCATATCGATACAACTTTTGGAATAATAGTAATTAGAAATGTTTTGGGACACTGGTCATTTTATAATTAAAAACAAACTAATTTGCCACACTGTCATCTTCTAATAAGCCTGTTAGATAGTATTTTATTAGTCCTACTGTTGTTTTTTTGTTTTTTTTTTTTAAGATTTATTTATTCGTACAGAACTGGGGTACAGGCCAGAGATGCGGAGGGTGAGAGGATTCACCAGGGACAGAGTGGGGAACAGAACAGGCAGATCGACGAAGTACACTGCTGAGGGGAGCAGCGGGCGGGTCAGGAGAGGTCTGCTGCGCCATGTGGTCACCTCCGTGGCAGGCGGGAATTGAACTCATGTGGAAGTGGCTTTAGTTTCTCAGTGCAGTGCTTTAACCCGTTGCGCCACCAGAAAGGGCCAGTCCTACTCTTGTTTTTTTTAAAAAAAAAAAAAGCTGACTTATTTCTGGCAAAATGGAGATTAGAAACGCTTACTAATCTAGTTCAACAGAATGTGCTATATAACTATACACACATGCCCTGCCCATTTATATTATATATACATTTTAATCTTAAAACACATGCAGAATTTTTTAAATAACTGAGCTGTGTAACCAGAAATATTAGTGAACTTTTTTCTTTTTCCAAATTAATATAAAATTAGGTTTTGCAAGCAGTCTGGCAAATGTTTATAGAATATAATGTGAAAGAGATGATTCATTTGGTATAATATCAGTGCGTAAATTTAAAATCTGAAACCAAAACAATCTGGTGGTAGAAAATCTTAAGGCAAGATAGTAAGATACCAATAATATTTGAAAATAGATTTTTAAAAAACCAATTAATTTCTCAAAGTTTCAAAGGAGGTATTTATTCAGGGACAGACCCTACAGGTAGAAAATACAAGTTAAATTATGGTAACATCAGAGTATATGTAATAAAATCAAGGTATTCATGCCCGTTACAGCATGTCAAATAATATTTTTTAAATGCTTGGCAGGTTCTCAGTGACTTATTACCATCTTGAAAGTTCCAATAAAATGGCATTATTTAGAAGTTGAACCTCAGACCATCCTAGGGCTCTGCTGTCCCTTTGATCACACCCTAATTTCTGAGGTTTGGGAAGGAGCTTTGTTCACAGAGAGATGAAATCAAGAATATTGTCTAGGAAAGAAACTTGGAACATTTCTCTCTTTTCTCTCCTAGATTGTCCTTTTACTCGGGCCACTCATCATTCTCCATGTACTGCATGCTGTTCGTGGCAGTAAGTATTTGCATGAATGACAGTGATGTGCTATGTGTCATGGGTTTCAGGTGTTTTATTTTTGGCCACCTCAAGCTTACCCACTCAGTCAGTAGTACTCCATTGTGGGCTCAATAAAGTCAGGAGAAGCTGTGCTAATGCCATATCCAGTTAGAGGTATTTGAAAGTGTTTTTTGTCCTTCATTTAAAGATAGCAAACAGGCCTGGGATAGCAAGCTGCAAATTGGGCATTTTCAGGATTATGACTCTACTTTTGAGCTAGGTGTTTGTGGACAGTGGGAGAAGCCTAGATAATCAGCCAGTCTGCAAGTATGGTGCTAAGAATGTAGTTGATTTGGAGTTGATTTGTGCCCTTCCTTTGAGCATTTATTTTCTGAAGAGGTTTTCGGGAACAAACAGCTACTTTGTAATTCCAGCAATCACTGATCCAAGTACTAGGCTAAGGCGCCTGCTGCTGCCTGCTCGCCTCCCCTGATGTGGCGATGCAGAGCCTGACTTCTGTGCTCCTGGGAACCAGCAGGTCGAGGAATTGAGTTTTGATTACTGAATATGAAGCAGCTGGTAATGGTTCCATCTGAGCAAGTTTTATTTTTCTTCCATTTGCTGAAACATTTTCCAGACTATTTCACGTGGGACAAAGAAGTTTTTGAGTTTCCTGCTTTAAGAACGTGTCATCTGTACAATTTCTGGGTCCAGTTCTAACTGCTCACTTGTAGAACAGCATGGAAGTTTGTGCTTACATGAGACAAAGTGACAGTGAAGAAAAGATTTGTACCCTAATTTTGCATATCAAACTAGAAATGAGGATATATCAAGAGCAAACTAATAGAATACCAGGCTTTAGGACATATAAGTAAATTTGATCTTTAAGTTAACTTGACTTTTTTTATAGTATATGCATATAAAATTAACAAAATTTGGTGGGAAGAGGAGGTGTGGGAGAGACCTCTGCCTTTCTAGATCAAATAATTTTGTCTTAATTCTCTTTCAAGTAGGTTTTTATATTGCTATGATCTGGAAATTTGTTATTTTTCATTTTTGATCATATTAAGAACTGTTTTGAGTATTTAATGTTTAGGTTAAAAAACCCAGGTGTATAATATTAGAAGCAGACCGATAGGAGTTAATTTTGCCTCAGTTAGAATTTAAATTTAACCAGAATCATGTTTTTATATTTGAAAAACCAAATTGCAAAAGTTTAAAGAATGTTAAAATTGCAGATGCATTACATAAAATTAAAACCCACAATTTCAAAACCTAAAAACTCTTTTTTCATATCCTTACTATTTCTGAAAATTATGTTTTCATCTTATGTTAATTGTGTGAGGAAGCAACCAGGCACCAGCTCAGCAGAGTTTAGGGCTTCCTTTTAAAGATACACACCCACATTTCTGAAAATGTGCTGTGGTAAATGTGACTTAATTGAAAGTGGTAGTATCAGCAAATACTATTTAACACCCTCTGTTCATTTATCTTACTAGGGATAGTTAGCATTCTACCTAAAGGAGCCTTTTTTTTTTTTTAATAGGGCATAGAAGTTAGGGGACAAAGGAATGGCTGGTCAGTGTCCTGAGAACTTCCTCAGAGCACTAGTCTGTCTGAAGAATGACTTTGGAATGTTTTGTGTGCCCCAGAACTACACCTTACTAGTCCAGGGCAGCATTTGTGGTTATTCACTCATCTGTCTTACTATCTATGTCCTTCTTTATGATAGAGACCTAAGAATCTGAGGCCTCTGATATTATCACTCATCTATCTGATAAAATGGAGAAATAGGTGTGTTGGGAGCAGGCTACAAATGTCTTCTTCTTAGGCTTTCTAGTGGTTTCCTATTAATCAGGCCCACTTGCTTTACTATTTGATCTGAACCCTACCTAATGCAGTTATTTTGATGAAATTCCAGTGCAGAGGTAAAAGGATACTGATTTTACCTTGACCCATTTTTTAATTGTGAAGGATATTCACAGGTGAGAATTTAAAAATGTTTAAAGATTTATTTATGTGTAACAAGAACTGGGGTACAGACCAGAGGTGCAGGGGGTGAGAGGATTCACCAGAGACGGAGTGGTGAGCAGAACAGGCACACTGACCAAAATATACTTTTTTAATGGAAGCTGTGGACAAAGACAAGAGGTCTGCTGTGCCACGTGGGTCAGCTCTCTGGCCGAGGATTGAAATCATGCTGCAGTAGCTGCATAGAGCTTCATAGTGCTGTGCATTTACCTCTTGCGCCACCAGGGAGGGCCCCTAGTTTTAAGCTCTTCTTCGCTACCAAGACTCTTCTGTAAACTTAAATAAAAGCTTTTAGTTAGGATTCTTTAGTAATATGTGGAATTAGGGTCCCCTTGGTGGCCTAGGGGTTAAATTTTAGTGCTATTGGCTGATCCCTGGCCAGGGGTGGTGACCCACATGGCACAGCAGACCTCTCCTGTCGTCCCCACTGTCCCCTCAACAGTATATTTCAGTATACCTGCCTGTTCTACTCCCCACTCTTTGGTGAATCGTATTACTCCCCTCCTTACCTCTGAAACACCTTAGTTCTTCTATGAGCAAAAAAAAAAAAATAATAAAGGGGGGGCAATTAATGTATGAAGGATGAGATTAATGTGTAAGTGGTCAATCGCAAGCCTACTCTGAACATCCAGGATCTGATGTCGCTAATTAGGGCACCAAAGTTGTCTCAATTGTAGTTTGGTAATTGTGTCAATATAAGCTGCTTAATTTATAATGTAAAGGTACAATGAAAATTTTAGATAAGTAGGGTTGTCATAGACCAAGGTCTTTGTCTTTAAGAACATGGGTAGGAGAAACTATACACTGGATTGTACTGATTCTAAGCTGTGGAAATATTTACCTCATGTAGGCCCTAGTTTGCATTTCAGCCCCTGAACACACCAGTGTTTTCTTGCCCTCTGCTTTTCACGTTTATGTACAATACGTAACAGGCACTGGTTACCCCACCCGTGCCACACACCCAGATTCCTTAGGCAGTGACTCATCTTGTTTCCCAAGGCATCTTGGCATCAATGGTCAGTCCTGAGGTTGGGTGTAGATGTGCAGTCCCTTAAACCCTTTCCAGTGACAGTCTTTGATAGCCAGAACGTCCCTGTCAGGAACTCCTGACATCAGAATTAAATTGGACTTGAAAAACATCTCTAAAGAACATACCCTGACCATTGTTCTGTGGCGGGCAGGCCAGCCCTGCACACCTTATAGTGCCAGGAAGAGTCAACACCCATGAAAACCACCTAAGCTGGTGGGAGCACAGGCAGGGCTTCTTTGAGCATAACCAGTTTGTGTGTTCAGTGACTCCCCTTGAACTTTGCCAGATGCCCAAAATTCCAAATTTATTTGATTGTTCAGGAAAAGAGCCATGGTATGAGACTGTCCTTTTTTCAGTACAGGGAGGAATATACTAAAACAATTTTCTCAGCATCATGTTGAGGCTCTAAATCAGAAACTATTTTATGCTCTGCCTGTAAAGAAATTCCTGTGTAAATTAGTAGTCTTCCTGTACTTCAGCTGGATTGCACTCCCTGCCACAAAATGTCTCTTATCTAGGCCTTACCCTCTCCTGTGTTTAGTGCTACCCAACTATCTAAAGCTTATTTAGATTCTGTGATACACTTGCTTTCAGTATTCCCAGTCCCTCATCTGGCATTGACCATAGTTACCCAGTACTGTTGCTATTTCATGGAGATGTTTCCCTAAGAATAGCTTAATGCTGAGCATTGGGTGAGTCACTTGTGACTCAAACTACTGAAAATCTCTCCTCCCCTTTTCCCCCTCCCCCCATTTTAAGGAATAATGTGAGATCTAAATTTAGGACTCAGTCCTAATGTTGAAGTTGGAGCCTAGAGAAGACTAACTAAAGTGAAACCTAAGTGTTTTCCTGGCCAGATTTGTGTTCAAATGATTAAAGGCAGGTGGGACAATACTTTGGCTTGTCTGGTTTGGTGTTAGAAAGCAGTGTTTCAAAATAAGTAGATCAAGACGTATTTCTTATTGAGCAGGCTTTTGTGAGTCTAGCTCAAGTCAGCAATATTTTCAGAAAGGTCGGAATATTTAAGCATTATAGGGCACATGCAATCTCAATTGCATATTAACTCTTCAAAATGTGAAAACCACTCTTAGCTTGTGAATGGGCCTCACTCTAGCTTAAAATGTAGGGGTGGGGGGAATTTCTTGACTGTAGTCTTAGTTGACTCTAATAGCATTTTGCAGCTGTGTTTCAAGGTCAGTTGAGAAAAGATAAAAATAAACCAGGTTCAGTAAATACCTCGTTCAAAGGGACTACAGTGATGAGTTATTAGGTACTTTGGTGGTGAGAGAATTATATACTGTTCAAAAATTTATGATATAAGTATTTCATTTAAAAATGTAAAAAATACCTTGTGCAACAGTCAGGTTTGAAATAATAGTACAATTAAACACTTTTTTGTGAGCTAAATGTTTCTTCAGGAATTTTAGGCAAAAGTTTGTATCTTTCACAGGCATTGAATAGTTCCCTATTTAAAGAAACCATATATACATTTTTTTAAAGATTTATTTATTTGTGCATACAGAACTGGGGTACAGGCCAGAGGCTCAGGGGCGGTGAGAGGCTCTACCAGAGACAAGAGTGGGGAGTAGAACAGGCAGATCGACAAAGTACACTGCTGAGGGGAGCAGCGGGTGGGTCAGGAGAGATCTGCCACACCATATGGTCACCTCCAGGGCAGGCAGGAATCCAACTCATGCAGAAGTGGCCTTAGCTTCTTAGTGCTGTGCTTTAATCTGCTGCACCACCAGGGAGGGCCCATATATACATTTTATACAATGTGTATCCTCATTTCTCCAGTGTGGTCCTGTACAATGGAAAGCCTCAGTGTACTTTCCAGATCTTCACTGTGTGCCTCAAGTAACTAGATGGAATCTGTTCATAAAGTGATTCATAGCTGTAAATTCTGCAAATTGGGAGGAAGGCCTCTCTGCAACTGGCAGTGAAGCATTCATTTGCTGCTTGCCTGGTGGAGATTTTTCCTATCTAAGCTCAAGTATGAGGTTATTTTGAGTAAAGTAACTGTCCTTATTGCTTTAGTGTGTAAGAAATTGCCTGTATGATTCTAATAACCCAGCTTTAGAACATTTTATGTCTATAAAATATTGGACTAGTTTGTTTCTATCCCATTATCACTAGGTTTTACTTTGCTGAGACTGGACAATTGACTGACCCTATACTGAGGATAAGATTTGTATTTTTCTGACCATAAGTCCACCCTAAATAGTGGCTCACAGGATGTTCACACTTAAGTTGCTCTTCTGAAGGCAAAAGCTATATACGTGGGGCCTCGTGTTTTCACAGCATGTAGCAAAGAAGCCACCTTTCAATGAGCACACTCTGGGGTGGGTTCTTGGCCAGCTCTTACAAAGTGAACTCATCTAAAACTGGATAAATGCGCAGTGAGGTGGTTGTACTTGATATCCTCTGAGCTCTTGCTTTCAAGAGCTAGTTTCTCCTACTAGAGACAGGAAGAGGCCTTAAGGTTGATTGAATTTCCTTGTATGCTAACTATTCTGTCCCTTTTCATGAAAAGGCGGTTGGGGGCAGTATGTAAGATGGTGTATGATATATATCTGCTGGAACTTAAGGCCTCTTTCCGTTTCCAGTGTTACTTCATAGATGGACATGAGCAGCAGGCTCAGGTGTGGGCGGGGTAGCTACCTGAGGATACTCCCCAGTCTCTGTCCTGAGCTAATTCTTGTGATAATTTCCTCTTCAGAATTCACTTAGTACTACAAATTCCACTCAGTGTAGCTCTCTGGATGAGGCCTTTTCTATCTCAACCAGAAAATCTCCTCTATGGAATCCTTAGGGAGTACCTTGGTTCTAAAATACTTTATCATGATTCCAGCTGCATTTTCTTGGTCTGTGTTACCTTTGCTGCTGCCCTCCTTTGGGGCTTCATAAATTTGTACTATTAAGACTATGGAGCTAATCCAGGGAACACTTCAGTGAAGAGCTGCAGGTTTTTGCTTCCATTCTGCCTTCTCCCTTTCTGGTATTTCTAGATGTGAACTTTTTCTGTTTAAGAGCTTTCTTCACCAGAAAGTTGGAAGTTAGAATTGGAGGAATCCATGGGCTATGGACACTCTCAAGCAAGATCCTGTCAGCTGACTGAAATACTGGTTGGAGAAGTCAGTTAGACCAAAATACAAAATATTCAAAGAATATTGGGAGAATCTTACGCCATTTATCTTGGGGCTGTAAACCCTTGTACTGTTGCTTAGAAACACACACTCATAGAAGTAAATCACATGCCTAATGTGAGAATTCTCTTACAATAGTGTCTTCAGTAGACTTGCAGTATGTTTTGCTCTGACAGGATTTCATTATCAGTTACATAAACTTATCTTTATAATTTGAGTCAGAAGTAGAAAATGAAACAGGATTTTGGCTGAATAAAGGCTAATTGGTTAGAACCAGCACCAGGACATACTGTCTTACTGACCATCTGGCTTTTCAGTGTGGTTGCCACTAAAGGCCTTGCTCTTAACTAACCATAGCTTTTGCTTTTTTTCTAACTTTAGTTTGAAATAGCCTATTTTAATCCAATTACATACATTTTGGAAAAGAGAATTCCTTTATACGTTCAGTATGTATCTAGAGGGAGAGGACAGCACAGCATACCAGAGTCAAGCCTGCAAAAAGTCTCTAATTAGTTCTTTCCCAGAAGAGAGGGCAGGCTCTCACCAAAGGGCTATCCTTTCGTGTGTGCCTTTCGGTGGGCAAGCTCCTCCAGATGGGAATCTGAAAATTGTAGGCACAGCTGTTGAGCCTGTCTGGTGTCCATTGTTGAATATAGAATTCTGCAATTCTCAAGAGAAGTAGCATGTTGCTTCTGGAGTTTGCAAAGGTGGGGATCCTAGAGCCTTTTGCCTTTTTAGAGCCTGAAAGATTTTTCCACTGTAGAACCTGAGAAAAGTTTTAAGAATGTCGCGCTACCAGAAAGATAGCACTCTGCTTCTATTGAACCTGCTTATGTAGGAAGGGATTCTGACTTGCAGGAGGGGAGCTGTCATAGAGTCAAGACTTCTGGTTTTGTTGGAACTTCTAGAACTCAAGTGACCAAAGGCTCAAGAAACTTACTTAGTATTTACTTCCTTGGGTTCTACTGAAATAGCCACTCCTATTAGGCGGTGCCTCACCTTCCCTGAGACTGCTCTGGCCCGAGGCAAAGCAAGCAAGCCAAGGAGGCACGCTCAGTAATGCAACCTCATGAAGAGTGGAGATTTGTTCAGCGACCAGACCTGCACTCAGGCTTCAGTAATTTTATCATGAGAGGAGCCAGAACCTGAAACACAACGTAAAATTAGGTGTGTAACACAATTAAGGGCTCTAGGAAACCTCAGGATGAAATAATTTCTGGGCTCATACAAATGGGGAAAACAGCAATGCTTGGGTAGGTATGTAAGGATAAACTACTTAGAATGGTAAAGGTTTAATATATTTGGATCTTCTTTGATTACTGATCTTTAGTTGAATATAATTTTCACAGCTAAGGAAAAAAGTTTGGGCAAAATAACATTTAAGGGCTTTGCTCATTGAGAATTTTAAAAGCTCTTACCAGTCTTCTTTGAGTTTCCTTTAGGTTGGAAGTAGAAACTAGGACTAAGCTGAATTCATTTTAAGTTCTTGTTTTTTTCTAAGATGTCTGTATTCATGTAGTTTGAAAAACAATACCTTTAACTGTTGAATAAAAGGGCAGTTAAATAACCTGACCAGACCTTTAGTTTTCGACACTATCCAGATCTTGCCATCCAGGAACTGGTTGTCTTGAAAATGAAAAGAACGTTTATAATTAAGATAGAACTGATGAGGTGAAACTTATGACTGTGTTACCCAATTAGCTTTAGTTGCCAGATACCAACTTTGATTCTACCAAAAAGCAAGCATCTCCCAACTCCTGAACCTTCAGACAAGTTTCTTAATGCGTAATAGTTGGAACAGACAAAAAAGGGGTAGGGAGTGCCACAGAAAGCCGGTAACAATTAACCAGCTAACGAGTATGACTCAGTTATACAACTGACATGTTCTTTAGAACTTCACGTTTATACTAGGTACTTAATAAAATTAGACAGCCTCTGGGTCTTTGCCAGTTCCTGAGAACTACACTAACAGCAATGCCCAAAGAACTGCGACTGATTTAGATAGCTATTTTAAGTTTTCTGAAGACTACATTTAATTGAGTTCTAAATTACTCTAGAATCTTAAAAAAAACTTAAAAATAATATTCTTATTGTATTGAATTGGAATTAGGTCCAAAAAAATTCTAATGAAATGATTTGCTGGAAGAATTCATAAGTAAATTATATTTATTTTACAACATTATCTTTAGGGATATACCACAAACAAAGGCTATGTGACCTACCTTTAGAGTATAAAAAAGCCTTAGTATACAAGTGCTATTAAAATAGACACTGTTGTGGATCAGGCCTAAGGTACAACTGGATGCATTTATTTAGAAATTAGAATTACTCATTTACTCTGTTACCCCGTTATATAATTTGAGCATATTAAGAAAATTCAGCCTCTAGCTAGGCTCGTGTGAACACACAGTGGCTTGGTCAGGTAAAGGCACCTGTGTTCAGAACACTGGCAGTCTATCTTGATAGAATTCTAACACAGACGAGGCCAAGGACCTGTTCCTGAAACCCTACATCATAAACAAGTAAGAAAGGTGATCTAGCTAACTATTAGTAAATTTTAGTTTTGCCTGGCTGGATTAACTTTTAGTTATTGAGTGTAAGAATGTTTGCCTAAAGACCTATTCCATATGTACTGTTTTTTAATGATTATTAAATGTAATGGTACTAATAACCCTTAATCATTTTAAATGCTAAGTATTTAGAAGTCTAGTGGTACTTTTGACACTAAACTCTTCTTATCTTTTCTATTAGATTTATCTTCAAGCCAGGATGAAGGGAGACTGGGCAAGACTCTTGCGCCCCACACTGCAATTTGGTCTTGTTGCTACATCCATTTATGTGGGTCTTTCTCGAGTTTCTGATTACAAACACCACTGGAGTGATGTGTTGACTGGGCTCATCCAAGGAGCTCTGGCTGCAGTATTGGTTGTAAGTATACAAGGCAGTAGCCTACATCTTTGGGTACTAATACCTGGATAAATAAGTAGAAAAATATGTCCCAATGAAAACTACAGGCAGAGAATGTGGCTAAATAATTGCTAATAGGTAAGGACCCAATATTGTTAAGTCATTTTTAGGGTAGAGAGCAGATAAAAACTAGGTCATTCTTTTTAAAAGCTATATTAATCTTGTTCTACCTGTATTATGGTTTGTATATGTATACATATACATATACGCATAAAGGCCATGGTTTGTTCGGGATGAATTGAAAAAATTGAACTCTTAAGGGCTCACTTTTCTTTTTACTATGATAGGAACTCACAATTTGGCAGAATGTCTTAACAAAAATTCCTGTCAGCCACTAGTTTTTGTTCTTATTTCTTGAAATTTCATGATTTTTAACAAGCATTTTCTTACATCCTAACTTGTTCTATGCAGACTGTCTATGTATCAGATTTCTTCAAGGACAGAAATTCTTTTAAAGAAAGGAAAGAGGAGGATTCTCATACAACTCTGCATGAAACACCCACCACAGGAAATCACTATCGGAACAGACACCAACCTTGAAGGCAGCAGGGTGCTGAGATGAAGCTGGCTTGCTTTCTGAAAGAGAATTATTGCAACCAGAAGGCAAGAACAATGTATTTTCTTCCCAATGTACAAGCCTTAAGGATTTGCTGCTGCTATACCTCTTGGATGCCCACTTTACCTGTGTGTATATAGTTACATTTAACACAATGGTTATCTAACAGCTTTAACTTCATTTAAAAAATTCAAGCCTTTCACTAAAACAATGTCCACCTGTACATTTTTATTAAAAAATGTAATGCTTATGTACAAATGTGTATGTAATATGCTTTCTTGAAATGACAATTAAAATATAATACATTAAGATGTTTAAGGATAAGTGTCTTGCAATGGGAGAATTAAATCAATACTTATAAGCATTTATAGTTGACTGTAATCAGACAGGTGGTGAACAGTTTCAAATTCCGCATTCTGCTAAGACTCTATAAGTAGAGGCTGGCAGCAAACACAATATCTCTCTTGATTTTGGTGATTCCTATGAGGAAAGAAAAGGGAGAGCTTCAACTTTTAATACCATAACATCATTAATTTCCCTCTACTGCGGTTTTAAAGACAACTCAACAATCCTGGTAACATTCACAGAAAAACCTGAAAAATAAACTTGCTGGTTGGAAAGGTTACCTAAAAGAGCTCACAGCCACCTCCAAGAGCTGGAAAAATTAGCAACGAGACCTCTGATCTTATGACTCTGACTCTAAAATTCCGTGTGTGGTGTCTAAAACTTCAAATTGACTGACTCAGATTTCTGAGCTATTAAAAAGTTAACCCCCAAACACTAACTTTTAGCCTTTATTAGAAGATACTGTATTACGTGAAATTCTTTCCGGACTAAAACAGGACAAATTTTATAATTTAAAAAGCTTATAGATTTAACCCTGCTTAAATAAATCTGACAACATGGATTGTATGAGTTAAGCCAGTTTTTGTAACCCTGACACTAAGTTGTTAATTAGGAATCACTGCCTGACTGATCAACAACATTGAGTGAAAGCATCAGAGAACAGCAGTCATTTTCTTCGTGGCCCTGTCTTCAGAGGGCAGGAAAATAGTCACAAGCATGCTGATAAGTCTAGCCTCACGCCCTCCCCACTATCACCACCTTGGTGTAGTTAGCCTTTCCTGATGTGGTCTTTCTGCTTCTACTACAGACTTGCCTACACTGCAACAGTTGTGCTGTAAAACCCAAGAGGTGGGTGCTACACATTCCTTTCCCCCTCCTACTCCTATTATTCTACTCATGGTTCACTCTGCTCTTCTATTGCTCAAGTTTATATAAAGTATGTATGAAGAAAGGCTGTACCTGACACTTTTGATTGGAGTTGCTTAGGTCTTCTCATAAGCCCCCAAATCCCTAGTGTCACATCTTTTTTGTAGACTTACACTACCTGATGTTACTGTTCATCTCCTTGTACTAGAAAGCAGTCTCTACAAAGGCAGGAATTTGTGTCATTTTGTGCAGAGCTGTATATCCTAGTACCTGGCACGTAGTAAGTACAGAATATCAGTAAATGTGTCTTAAAAATGTCAAAACTGTTTCCCTCACAGACACGAGCAAGTTTTTTTCAAGCCCTACTAGATGGCCCTCCATGGGTCCACAACAAAAAACTGAAAATGTGCTACTTTGTGGTCAAAAGTTCAAGACATCTACATTTTTAGAAAGCTGACAGAATGTACACTGACCTTCTGCAAATTTATTTTCCAGTTCAGTGTTTCCAATGGCTTTTGCTGCTTGACACATCTGTCGAAGCAGTTCTTCCAGGCGTCTCATACAACGAATTATGCTGCCTGTACAGATAAAGAAACATTGCTTGTAACAATTATCAGGAACAGAATTTTTCTTAAGTGGTAAAGCCAGAGAAGTGGCATGATTAGGAATAAACTTATTGTCCATTTAGTCAATAAGCTAGCAAACTTGACAGGTTGCCTGCTATGCACTAAGAAGGTTACAAAGGTGAAAAATCTAATTATCATTCTTGACCAATGATGATCAAGGACTTCTTATAATTGTTGACACCGATTTTACAGAGAAGCACGTAACAAAATGCCATGGGAGAAAGCAAATTTGGGTGAATGCCAGCAAAAGATGACATAAAGGTGGTTTAGGAAAATAAGGATGAGGGAAGACCACTGAGCACAGGGACCCTGGGTGTGGTCTAGTAAAGCATCTGGCACCGTGAAGAGAACACAAGGAGTTTACGTAGGGGAGCAACAGGATCAAATCTGTCACTTCAAAGGTTCAGTCAGCTACAAAGAAAGAAAATGTGTCCTTTAAAGGACGTAAGCTGTTCAAGGCCATTTTTTGTAGGAAAGCAAGTAAAGTGACAAATACTGGACATTACCTTGTGATTGCAACAGGGCAAAATAGAAACACTAGCAGACAATAATAAACTAAGGTTTCCAAGATTTAAGAAAATAGGAAGGGAGAAAGTGTGAAAGGCATATAAGCAATTGTGGTGGGGGAAAAGGGAAAATAAAGGTACATTCGTTCTTCTTGACCTTTATGTCAGTGGTTTCTTTTTTGTTTTTAAAAACATGAGATAAGCCAAACCTTTATCCACTAAGTAAGACTCCATATCTGAGAGGTGGAGGCAGAGTGGTACACTGTACTGCATTTGCTTTTTCTTTTTTTAAAAAAAAACTTAAACACCATAAACAAGTTTCAGGTATAATTAGTAATGGGAGCTTTTGTGATGCCATGTGCTCAGTAGAAAACAAGTCCTTCATGGGTAGTGATGAGTATAATACTGGTTTTGTAGACAAAAATTAACAGTAATAGCCGCTAGTTAGTCATAATGAATCTACATGGATTAAGGGACTGAAACCCCAGGCATTAGAACACAAGTACTTTTTAAATTGCCAAATTTAGTTTGATGGAAATAACTATAATTTCTTTCTTTATTGTAAAATCTGGAAATTATCCCCAAAACTCAACTGAATCACAGTAGCTCTTATATCAGACACTAACAAAACAATGTTAGACCCAATTTTTATAAAGTACTGAAACTACTGCTGAGATTCTTGACATAATTAAAAAAATTTCTATTTTCATATAAAGGAAATTAGAAATGAATAAGGTTTGAACACAGCACATTAAAAAGCTCCATTGCAGTCATTTTCTGCCTGTAAAAATACGTAGATACTGGACTGGAGCTTTGAATCAGTATTTTTCCAATTATGTAACAACAAGATGTGTAAAGAAAGGCTATTCTGAAATGGAAGACCTCAATGATGATAACAAAAGAGGGGGTAGTAAAAGGGAGACAATATGCTTGAAAAAGGAAATACTAAATAAATCAAGGTTCTCAGATTTTTTCCATTTGTCTTTTTTTTTTAAAAGAGCTAATATAGAAGTCCACCCAAATTTTAGAAGAACAATTTTAGCTGATATAATGGCACTGGAGCCAGAAAAACAGGCAAACTGCTGACACGAGACACAACTTGTAGTTATAAACAGAATTCTTCAAATTTCAAGCAGACTTCTCAGCAAACTGATGTAAAAACAGCCCAAATAGGATCTGAAAGTGGACAGAACACATTTCAGAAATGCAGTAATAATGTAGAAGAGGTCACCTCATAGGCAGCTAACATATAAGCTGTCTTCCATGTTAGCAGAGTAGGTACTAAAGTACAAAAAACAATAATCCACAAAGGCAATTTTAATGGGTCCCCAGACTTCTATGCCTATTGCCCCTTGACTTTTTTTGAAACAAAACAATAACTTTTCCCTCAAACATCATTACTGTTTTATTCCAGTGAATTCTGACTTCCTAGACAAGTATTTAAACTAAGCCATTACATTAACTAGTCTTGGACTTACTTAGATATTAATCATTAGTTTAATTTAAGCATGGGTTTTCAGTGGATGAAGACAGCATAAAACTATGGTAGAATACAAGAAGTTGCTAGATGATCCAAAATGTAAGGATAAAGTACGATTCTTTGATGACGTTAACTACCATGTAATTTGATGAGGGTTCACGTTATCAGTGCCATATCTTGTACTAAATAGCCTATGGGACCCTGGTCAAAAAATTTGCATTCTTAAAACTCAGTCTCCTTGTGTAAAGTAGAAATAAAATCTACTCGAGTTATTTTAGTGAATAGATCTAAATTATGTAAAGTTTTGTGCACTGCCTGTCACACTATAGTCAGTTAAGAAACAGTAATACAGTGATCTTCCTAGTAACATAATACAGTGCGAGGAGGATTTAGTGATCTTTTAATGCAGACTTAGACATAAACCTTAGAGAAAAAGTCTAAAACAGCACACTTTAAAAAAAAAAAGAAAAGCATTATAGAGTTCTCTATGATGGTGCAGCAGTTTAAAGCACAGCACTAAGAAGCTAAAGCCACTTCAGCATGAGTTCAATCCCCACCCTGGAGGTGATCCACATAGCGCAGCAGACCTCTCCTGACTTACTCCCCTCAGCAGCCTGCTCTGCCTGTTCTGCTCCCCACTCTCTCTCTGGTGAATCCTCTCACTGCCCCTACACCTCTGGCTTGTATCCCAGTTCTGTATGCATAAATAAATCATTAAAAAAACAACTCAGATCAAGGTAGTGGAATAAGCTTACTGTTGAAACTTTTAATGTTCTCTTGTACAGATTTCTAAAACCTGTGCATCATAAAATTGATTCATAAATTTAGTAATCTAGTTTCTATATCAGTTAAAAGCATTTAACTACTGAGTTATTAAAATGTATTATTTTTCAAAAGACCTTTACACAACAGTATTTTAAGTACACTTAATCTTTGAAATCTTTTTTCATTTTTAAGTGTACTCAATGAAAGTATCTAGTAAAAGCTATTCACCATTACTATCATCTACATAAGGCAATCTTTGTAATAAATATATGTTCTATAAATATTATACTTTTTATCTGCTTCCTGTAATTCTAACTACTCATATATTTCCTTTGCTTTTATTATTTTTATTTAAATTTGCTCTTGAGTCCAACAGTTTTAGCTTTTAAATTCCCCTATTAATCTGTTTCAAGCTAAAGTAACTATCTGGCTAAAACCAAGCTTTTTATTAGAAATGCAATAATAGCATTTTCAACTCTATTTTTTTAATGGAATTATAAATTATAACTTACAGCAAGCCTGTAAGTTATTACCAAGAGAATAATACCAAAAAGTAAAATATCCACACAAATATAAAGTGCTATTAAAGGAGGATCTATTGTGTAATTGCAGAGGCAAATACGCTTCCTGAGGAATTTACAAAAAGCAGATTACACTAAATAGTACAAAAGATATATGGAGAAAATAACA